ACATCGATCGATACCAAATGCGGACCAAAACACTGACTTTATACCACCACTAATTAGCAAAAACCCGGAGCACGAAATAAACGCGTGTCGCCCAGAGCCACGGCCCGGCGGCCTCCCACCCCGCGGTCGGCGGGCGCTCTGGACCGCCCAGCGCCGCCTCGCGCCGCCCAGTGCAGTGCGGGACGCCGGGACGCCGGGACGCGAACGCCTCGAGGCCGATCACCAGCCCCCCGCTGCGAAATCCATTACTGTATCCCACTCCGCGAATGGCGGGGCCTGCCTCAACGGCCTGCTTCACCACCACGACCTGATACACCGATACGCCTCGACTTGCTTCACCACTACGGCCTGCTTCACCACCACGGCCTGCTTCACCACCACGGCCTGCTTCACCACCACGGCCTGCTTCACCACCACGGCCTGCTTCACCACCACGGCCTGCTTCACCACCACGGCCTGCTTCACCACCACGGCCTGCTTCACCACCACGGCCTGCTTCACCACCACGGCCTGCTGCCCCGGACGGCGCTGCGTCGATTTGACTTGCGAATCCATCGAGGACGACATTAGCATCCGATTCCTTTAATCCTGTCGACCCGGCGCAAGAAGCGGCGGCCCGGCGCCGAGTGGCTCGAGGGGCGGGGCGGGGCTGGGCGGGGCGGGGTCACGAGCCACTGGCCGAGCGTCTCCGTCTCTCTCGATGATTACATCTGCCTTGTCAATGATTCCCCCTCGCGCCTGGCCTTCCCCGCCTCGCCCCGCCTCGACCCGCCTTTCAGCGAGACGCCCCAATTTGATCGCCAACGCCGGCAATCCACACAGTTTTACGCCCCGCCACACCACTGCAAACAGACAACATTTTCGTCTCATGGCGGCGCATGGCGGGGCAAGGCGGGGCATGGCGGGGAGGGGCCTCCCCGCTCCTCTATCCAGTGGCCTAATAAAAGCAAGCCAAGTGCCACAGCGGGACACCCGCGGCCCCGTCCAGCCCCGTCCAGCGACGCCCCCCCCCCTCCAGGCCCCACCAGGCCTCCAGAGAAGTCAGACCGAGGTTTGGAGTTGGAAAGCGCCCCTGGGGGTAGGTGCGGAGTGGGCCCCGCGGGGTGGGAAGGGGAGGGCGCGACGACGGGGTTGCGAGGTTCAAGGGGCGGCGGTGCTAAGGGAGTTGGCGTGTTCACGCGCCGCGCGGTGCAAGGCGGATTGTTAAGGGTTGACACGGCCGTCTGGAGGGCGTGCAGGGCGTGCAGGGCGTTCAGGGCGTTCAGGGCGTTCAGGGCGTGGATCGGAGGTGTGACCCCGCCAATGGACTCCTCGTTCGGAGAGCAATCCATTGGTGGGGTCACACGTTCGGTTCGAGTCCCATTTAGCGACTCTGGAGCTCAAAACGCGTCTAGAGTTTTGGCCGCCTCCACCAACTGTGCGTCGTTCCTCGGCGTGCTCACTCCCAGCCTCTAAAAATTCCACCCTTGCTCGGCCTGAACCAAAATGAAATAACAAACGCAAGTCGCTCGTAATTTCGCGCAACTTTGAAGACGTTATCGCACTGACAGTGTACCCCCTCCCCGTGCCCCACCCCCTTTCACCACAACCCCTTTTTTTTCCAGCGAGGAGCCCAAAAACTTGACGCCGGGCCGTGCCGGCCGTGGCAAAGAAATGTGATGACCAGAGAGCCTTGCCGAGTCCTAGCAGGGAGAGGCAGGGCGAGGCGGGGCGAGGCGGGGCGAGGCGGGGCGAGGCGGGGCGAGGCGGGGCGAGGCGGGGCGAGGCGGGTCTCGGCTCACCGAATTAAAACGGAATACGCACGGCACGGCGCGGCGCAAACGCAAAACTGGCGTGACGCGCCCCGAGTCGGATAAAGGGACACGCCGAGTATAATTATCCGAGTAAATAAATTATGGTAAAAAGTCAAGAAGCAAGTCAATTACTACGGTCCGTGTTTTTCTTTTCCCCACGCCTTTACCCTCTTGTCGAAAAAAAATAATTCCATTCCGTGTTTATTTTTTTTATTTTTTTTCCGCGCGACACGCGCAAGTCGCGGGAAGAAAGGAGGTTGTCATGAATAACCAGCTCAGTCAATTACTGCATTACATTATCTGGAAAAGTCTAATTTGGAGAGCGGCCGAAACACCATCCAGAAAAAAATCGGACCGCCCTCCCAGCGTCTCGTAATCGCGGGTCGAGAGACTTACACACTGGATAATGACAAAGGACAATCAGGTCCCTCATTGCATCAACGTTATTTCCAACACATACCTCAATTCAATTTCCCCGTTTCCCCGTTCGCGCGCAAAGCCACAATTTGGGGCACTGCGGTCGAAGTACGTCAACTTGTTGGAATGCCCCGACCGGCCGCCCCTCGAGGCGACACTTTGTTATTGAAATGAGTCAAGCGGCCGGACCCTCGGAAACGGGCCCTGCAGACTGAGAGTCGTTTTCGTCGCTCTGCCTCCCTCGCACCAACACGGGACGCCCCACGAGTGCGCGAGAGACAGAGCGACGAAAACGACTCTCGGAATCGGTCTGCTGCGATCGGGAGGCAGGCGGGAGGCAGCGGGAGGATCACATCCACGTCACGGCGCGGCCACGGCGCGCGCCAGCCACCCACGCACCCCACGCACGGGGCGACCCCGGTGGGGCCTGGTAGGGGGTCCCGGTGGGTCCCCGGTGGGGTTCCGGTGGGGTGACAGGGACGTGCTGCTACCTTGTCCGGATACGGGGGGGGGGGACGCGACGCAGAGCACACAGCGCACACACAGTGGCACATAAACCAACAATGTGCCGAGCCTGGCGAGCCCCATTGTACCGGACTGGAGGCTGGGGCGGCCGGGGCGGCCGGAGCCCCCGCCTCCCCTTTTCCTTGTTAATAAAACAAGTTGTGCCGAGGCATGTTATTACGCCGCGGCCGCGGTGGACGGACGGGCGGGGCGCGTGCGGGCCGCCAGTTTATACAGCGATTCCGCGAACACTGAAGTAACATCCAAGTGGTCCAAGTGGCACTGGGGCAACACTCTGAGCGGCGCGGCGGCGCGGCCAGGTAAGTCAACCCCGCGCACCGCGGTACGTAATGGGTCGTCGAGGAGCCGCACTGTGTGCTTTGCGTCGCTTTGCGGTGCAGTCGCCGCCCCGCCCCGCCCCGCGAGCGCGGAGACTCGGAGACCCGCGGACAAGCTCGTAAAGGGCAGCGAGTGTGAACGCATTGAACGCGAAGCGGGAATGCCGCTATTCGCGAAGGCGTGAGTGAAGCGAGTAGGCTTGTTCGCACGCAAACCACGCACACCTCAGTCTTCTCTACACATTCGTAAAGACCATTCTTTAGATGCCATCTTCAAAGAAATTGGCTCAGGCTTTCTTAGACCACCTCCTCACACCTCCTTCCTGACCCCGTTCGAACACCATGAGCCGCATACCATTCACATTGTTTCAAACTATTTTTCCTCGCGCACATTGGTGGCACAAATTGCCGAAAATGGCAAAATAGTGCGTAAATAGCTATAGACTAATGGGTTTGACACTCACCGAGTAGTGGTGGGCGTGGTGCGGCGGGGACGCCAGGTTGTCTCGCATGCAGCCGCCCTGCGGAAACGAGCCAAGTGTCAAACAAAAAGCAAAAACGTCAACACACACAAAAAAAAAACAGGAGTAAACACACATGTCAAGCAGAGAATGCAAAAACAAACGGTGACAAAAAAAAGGAGGAAACAACTCTTGTCGCGTCGAAACAGCAAGCAGGCTTCAACTAACAGGGTATAACTCCATTCGGAGAGCGATACAACACCCGCCGGCTGTTGCAGCCGCCATCTTTCTCTTTTCACTCACCCACACAGGCACACGGGCACACGCGCGCCACACACACACACACACACACACACACACACACACACACACACACACACACACAACAAACACACACACACACACATACGAGGACTGTCCGGACAACACAATTGCCGTACTTTGCCGATTTCCGCTCCTTGAAACTTGGAGACCGAGCGCGCCATTCCCCCCTTCCTTTTTCCCCTTTCATTCGCTACACTTTTCAGCACCGTATCGGCCCGCGCACTGTAAGTGCCAGCGATAGTGTCGGTGTTCCGCGCGCCCTCGTTGCTGTTACTAGCACCGTGTCACAGTGGGCCAGAAGACCGGCGGAAGCGGACAAAACTCTAGACGCGTTTTGAGCTCCAGAGTCGCTAACTGGGGCTCGAACCGAACGTGTGACCCCACCAATGGATTGCTCTCCGAGCGAGGAATCCACTGGTGGGGTCACACGCTCGGTTCGAGTCCCGCTAAGCGACTCTGGAGCTCAAAACGCGTCTCGGAGTTTTGGCCGCCTCCGCCGGTCTTCGGCCCACTGTGTGTGTGGGGAGACAGCTCCCGAGTGCCGATACCGCATCTCACGAGGGGAGCCCGAGTGAGTGACGTTCCAAATGAAGAGAGGGGGTTGCCTGCTTGTCGCCCACCTGGAGGACGCCGGGCGCCCCGGGCCTTAATGACGTCATCCAGAAGGGTTTAGGGCGCGGTTCAAATTGCCGCCACAAATCCTTCCCTTCCGCCCCGCGCGTCCCGACTTCGGCTGCCCGGCCATCAATCAAAACGGATTAATTTTTTAATTCGCGCAAGTTGGCGCGCGGGGACAGGGCCGACAGGGCGGCAGTGCGGTTGCGGCGCGCGCCTGCAGGTGGCGCCACAGTCCGGCAGCAGCCGCGCCCGCCGCTACCCCGCGGCGCGAGGGAACGCCCAGCGCGGGGTAGCGGCACCCAGCGGCGCCGCGCGGCACGCGTGGGCAAGCGACGTGCCGGCGCACAGTGGGCCAGAAGAGCGGCGGAGGCGGCCAAAACTCTAGACGCGTTTTGAGCTCCAGAGTCGCTAAATGGGACTCGAACCGAGCGTGTGACCCCACCAATGGATTCCTCGTTCGGAGAGCAATCCATTGGTGGGGTCACACGCTCTCGTTTAGCGACTCTAGAGCTCAAAACGCGTCTGGAGTTTTGGCCGCCTCCACCGGTCTTCTGGCCCACTGTGCGGCGTCGCGCCCAGGCCCGGGCTGGCCCAGGCGTGCCATCCTTGGATCCTCGCGGAGGGCCTCCACGCCGACACGGCCAGGCCGGCCAGCCCCGCGACGACCCGCACAAGGCCACACACTGTCAAGTCGTCTCGCAGTCTCACACTTGATGGCCGGCTGCGGAATGGATGGGCAGACTCGATACAGTGGACTGAGCAGCGCGATCGTCGCTCAGTCTCTCTCGCCAGAAAGTCCCAAGGGCGCCGCCCCGCAGAGGGAGTGCGATTAACCGGCCTGGGTTGGACGCAGTGGCCGCTCTGAGTCAGCCAAAATCACAATCTTCATTTAAATGGCACAGTTTTTAAATGAAAAATAGAATTACGATTTTGTTATACATAAAACACTTGAAACGACCGTTCTCTGAAAACGGACGGGTAGTTTTTAGACCCCCCGGGCTCGCAGCACTCTCCTGGCCATGGCGGAATGGGGCAAGACCACCGCAGGCATACGCGCTGGCATAAAGTGGAGCAACAGGACACGGCATTAAGGCTAAGTAAGTGCAAAGCAGAGGCAAGGCGAGGCCCGGCCGGGCATGTGGCCACATAATCTAAGGCCAGGGCCAAGGCTGCCGAGGCCGCCGAGGGCAAGGAGCACCACGCCGCACAGTGGGCCAGAAGGCTGGTGGAGGCGGCCGAAACTCTAGACGCGTTTTGAGCTCTAGAGTCGCTTAACGGGGCTCGAACCGAACGTGTGACCCCCACCAATGGATTCCTCGTTCGGAGAGCAATCCATTGGTGGGGTCACACGTTCGGTTCGAGTCTCATTTAGCGACTCTGGAGCTCAAAACGCGTCCGGGACTTTGACCGCATCCACCGGTCTTCTGGCCCACTGTGCGCCGCGGGGGAAGTCACCGCGGTGGCAACGACACCAGCAACGCGTCTAGCATTCTCCTGCTGGAAATGGGAACCACAAAGGCAACCGCGACAACGTGTCCACCATAAAGTCCAAGTTCCATTTCTAATTAATGCAATGAATGAACCTGAAAAATAAAACACCGTATACAGACAAAAATTTTCAAAAATTGCAAGTCTCACGTCATTACACGATCAGTTAAACACGGCATAGAACAACCCCCCCCCAAAAAAGCAACATGTGTCAAAAATGACGTCACCATCATAAACACATAGAATCCACGTTCCGACACGAAAGCAAGGCAAAGTGAACCTGAAAGAAAAGGGGACGGTTAGTGTAACGAGCGAGTGTGACTCTATTAGAGTGTGCAGCGCGAGCAGCGCCCTCGCGACTGCATCGTAATTAAAGAAGGCACCGGCGCGGCACGGCGCGGCGCGGAACAGCACGGCACGGCGCGGCGCGGCACGGCACGGCAGCAGCGTCCCTGAATGAGGAACAAAACAAAAGGCGATCCCGCCACTGCAGATTCCCCCCGGGAGGAGGGCGGAGAGGACCGGCGCAGCCCGGCAGCCCTACAAGTCCCTGGACGACCAGGACGACCAGGACGCTAAAAATGCACGAGCAGACGACAGACGACGCGGAGACCAGGCGATGTGCGGCCCCCCCGAGGTTACCCCGAGGGCGGGCCGTCGAGTCGGGCCGGGCCGGGTCTTACAGTTTGGATGTTGACGGCGTGCAGGTCGCGACTTAGTGCCGCGTCCACCTCGTCGCCGGAGTCCACGCGGTCGGCGCGGTCGGCGCGGTCGGTGGGGGGGGGCGCGGCCGGGGGCGGCGCGGGGGGGGTGGGGGGCGGCGGAGGGCGGCCCGGAGGCGCAGCTGGAGTCGGACACGGAGCGCGAGGGCGGCGCGCCGCCCGGGCCGGGGCTCCAGAAGCCCCGACGACGACGACGACAGCGGCGACCCGCACTTCCGGTCCTGGTTGAGCGCGACCAGCGCGGCCAGCGGCGGCGGAGGCGCGGCCTGCGACTTGCCGTGCCTGGAAACAGAAAGCAGTGTCACAGTCGCATCCAGCAAAATTAATAATATCATGCATTATTTCTCATTAGCGGTCAGCGGCGGGGGCGGCGGGGTCCCTCTCTCTGAAATAACTTTGATATCCCACTCGGCGGCCCCGGCACGGCCCCGGCACGGCCCCGGCACCCACCCAGCCAGCCAGCAGCCCCGAGGCGCGGAGAGCGTGGCAGCGCACATGAAGCAGTCCCGACTGTGTCAACAGGCACCTCGCTAGGGTGGCCACTCGGCCCACTCGGCCCCAGCAGCGGGACGAGCGCCGCGCCCCCGCCGGGGCCTCGCCGGCGCCACGGGCCACGTGCAAGTGGCAACTCTAAGCAAACGAACACGGTGCGCCCGGAGTGCAACGCAAGGTAAACGCAGGAACGCGTCCGCTTGAAAAGAGGAGGTTGCCACGCGTTATTTTGGCGCACACGCGGATCACGACCATCCTGAATGGTCCACCATAAAAGTGAAGATTCTCGAGTAATCGGCACCATTTCTGAGAGATTCGTATTAGAGTGACAAGACAACGGCGTGTCTCTCCCTTCGTGCTTATGAGAAGATTTTCGATCATTTCTCGTAAGAACGACGAATGACTCCCAGACTTCCGCGGCGGCCGCGTCGGAGAGGAGACCTCGTTTTTACGGAGCGTCACGCCGAAAGCACGAAAGAGGGGGAAGAGGGAAACGAAACGGGAGGGGGCGGAGCATTCCAATTTGAAAACTAATCTACTCTGCGTGCAAGCTCAAAACCCCGAAACCCCGAAACCCCGGAACCCCGCCGCTCGCGAGACGTATGGGGCTCGGCCAGGCACAGTGGGCCAGAGAACCGATGGAGGCGGCCAAAACTCTAGACGCGTTTTGAGCTCCAGAGTCGCTAAATGGGACTCGAACCAGACGTGTGACCCCACCAATCGATTGCTCTCCGAACGAGGAATCCATTGGTGGGGTCACACGTTCGGTTCGAGCCCCATTTAGCGACTCTAGAGCTCAAAACGCGTCTCGAGTTTTGGCCGCCTCCATCGGTCTTCTGGCCCACTGTGCCAGGCTGGCGTGGCGTGGCGTGGCCGAAGCCGAAGCCGACGCCGAAGCCGAACTCACCTGCTGAGCTGAGGGGGTGGGCCCCGGCCGGGCGGCCCCGGCCCGGCCAGCTTGCTGGGATTGCTGGGGCCGTTGGCGGGGCCGTTGGTGTGGGCCTGTGCCGCCACGGCGGGCGCGGCTAGCGCGGCCTCGGCGCCGCTCAGCGTGCCGGCCGGCTCCCACGTCTCCGTGGTGGACGAGTTGTACACGTTGTCCTCCTGCGTCTGCCGCGAGCGCTCGTCCACGACGCGACCGCCGCGCGCCACCGTCACCTCCTCGCGCGTCACCACCGACGACTTGACCTGCAGGCTCGTCTCCAGGCGCACCGGCGAGCGCAGGATGCCCGCGCGCACCTGCAGCCACAACAACAACAACATTAGCAATCACAAACAAAAACAATGGCGAACAAAATAAAATTGTAAACAAAACAAAAAAGTTGCACTTAAGATAATTGTAAACCAAAAAAAAAAAGGTGTACTTAAAATAATTTTAAATAAAAAATTTGTACTAAAAAATAATCAAAAAAATTG